TCACCTTTCTTTCTGCTTTGTGAAACTGTTGTGTTATTGATTTTCCCCCTATATATTTATATTGCTCTTGTATAGTTGCAAAGTCTCCCTTTTGTGGAGAAAGACAATGTTAACAGTTCTCAATATCAATAGTACATCATCTAAGCACACTTTTTTCCTTAGTTTTCCTTATTACTACATTTATAGCTAGACTCTATATCTACAAATGTTGGTTTCGATTATTGTTTACAAATATAGTCATTAGTTTCATGAAAGGCATACCGTTTCTGTTAGCTTGATGAAAACTGAATTTCAGGTGTAGGATGTTATGTTTAGGGGGAAAGGAGTGAGAGTATGAGGTTAATCTAACTTAGTAACTTTGGAAAGCTCTAAGCAATAGATGGGTAATTTATGGAAGAATGTATAGATTCAAATTCCTATCTGTATTTATAAGATTACCCTACTTATAAATAGTAAAATTTAGGGGGTTGCAAGTGGGATAGAGGGAGTAAGAGGGAGAAAAACAAATAACAATGAAAGAAAGAGAAAAAAGAGAGTGGGAAAAAGAAAAGAGAAAAAAGAAAAGAAATAAAAAGGGGGAGGGATGTGGGGCATATGCTATTCCTCTATATCATATTATTCTGGTGATTCAGTTGTTAAAGACCTTTTTCATGCACAATTTTTGGTTTCACATATGTTGAGGTTTCGAGGACCAGAGGGGGAAGGGTAGAGGAGAATGGATGAATGGATGAAAAGAGAGAGAGAAGAGAAAAAAAGAAAGAAAAAAAATGTCTCTCAGAACTCTGTTTTCTTTTCTTCYAGTTGGTGGCATTGTCTATTCTTAGCTTGAGTCTCTGGGTTCATGGTGGTGCTGGCAGTCAGTGTGAGAGGACTTGAGCTTCCACCTGTGGCCTCTCTACTCTTATTCTCTGAGATGTAAACCAGGTGCCTGATCTGCTGCAGAACCTAGCTGGTAGCCACGCCCACTGGTTGGTGGGTTTTAAGGGTTGGTGGGATTTTCCAAGATGAGTTCCATCAGTTTTTCTCATAAGGTGTTTGATGAGGTGGGGGGGTGTTGGGGAAACCTTATATTTGTCCAGAGTTCGGTCAGGTGACCGCACGGGCGGGTGGCTGGGCCCCTCCTCCAGTTGGGGTGGCTGTGCCCCCTCTCCCTCAAAATACTTTTAGATAGCTTTTAAAAATGTATAGTTGTGAGGCTGGGGATTTGGCTCAAGCAGTAGTGCCCTCTCCTGGCATGTGCGGGTTGTTCAATCCTCGGCACCACATAGAAATAAAATAAAATAAAGATGTTGTGTCCACCAAAAACTAAAAAATAAATATTAAAAAGTTCTCTCTCTTTAAAAAATGTATACTTGTATTAGTCAGCTTTCTATTAATGTTCCAAATACCTAAGATAATGAACTTATAAGATACATGTTTGGCTCACAGTTTTAGAGGTTGCTGGCACTGTATCTTTGGGCCCATGGTGGGTGGCACATCATGGCTTGCATACTTTGGGGCACAAATCCACTTACACTATGACAGGAAAGCCAAAGAAGGGACTGGAGTCCCATTATAAATTCTACAAAAACACCCTCAATGGCTAGAAGGCCTCCCACTAATGCTCTTAAAATTCTTACAATCATCTAATAACACCATTCTGGGAAGCAATTTTTTAACACCCAGTGCCATTCAGGGACAGTCCAGGTCTGGCTGTAGCAACAGTATTTTATTGTTATTTATATGTGTGCAATAGTCCACCAGACCTTCTTGACTCCCCATCTAACTAGAGCTTATTACCACCCATCAAATGTTTTATAACTTTCCCTTTTACCTACTGTCTTCTGCCTCTGTTATCCACCATTCTACTCTCCACTTCCATGAGATCAACCTTGATTCCACATGAGTGAGATCATATGGTCCCTTTATTGTGCCTGACTTATTTCACTTAACATAATGGTCTCCAGTTCCAACCATGTTGTCTCAAATGACAGAATTTCATCATTTGTTATAGCTTAATATTATTCCTTGTGTATATGTACCACATTCTCTCTATCTATTTATCAGTTCATTAACACTAAGGCTGTTTCCATTTCTTGTCTATTGTGAATACTGCAACAAACATAGGAGTGCAGGTGTATCTTTACTAGAATAACTTCATTTCCTTCAGATATAGAGCCAGTAGTGGGATAGCTGGATCATGTGATAGTTCTGTTTTTAATTTATTGAGGAACCTTAACATGGTTTTCCATATTACCATCAGCAGAGTGCAGGGTTTTCTCTTTTGATCCAACTTTTAAAGCAATTGCCCACTTKACTTTACAGAAAGGATGTATGAAAGACTTAATTCCAGGCCAGGTGCAGTGACATAAGGCCAATAATCTCAGCAACTCAGAAGGTTGAAGCAGGAGGATTGTAAATTCAAGGTCAGCCTCAATAACTTAGTCAGATTCTGTCTCAAAATATAAAGGGTCAAGGATGTAACTCAGTAGTAAAGCATTCCTGGGTCCAATCCTCGTTTTCAACAACAATAACAACAAAAACGAATTAAATTCCAAAAAATGTTTGTTTTATGGGGAATAATTTTAACAAATAAACAGAGATATTAAGAGATTATGAGGATTAAAGTATCCTCAGAATGGGAAAAAACATTTGGATGAAAATTCATTTTTAAAGCACAAAAGTGTTATGTGATTATCAACTTCTCCTTTGAAATGACAAAGGAGTAGAACCTTCTCCTTCCTGGAAAATAAT